AAGTTCGTTTTACCTTGTGGTCTCCATGATCGGTCTAATGCATGACTGATGATGTTTCTAGGCTGAGACGAGTAGATTAGCAGGAGATAATAAAGGTGTATCAGAACAACAGATTCGTCTCAAGATTTATTCTCCTAATGTTCTGAATATTACTCTTGTGGATCTTCCTGGCATCACAAAGGTTCCTGTTGGTGATCAGCCAACAGATATCGAAGCTCGTATAAGAACGATGATCTTGTCTTACATTAAGAACCCTACCTGCTTGATACTAGCTGTTACACCTGCTAATTCGGATTTAGCCAACTCAGATGCTTTACAAATCGCAGGAAACGCTGATCCTGATGGTTAGTTCTTGATAGCAATTCAATAGGGAATTCAATAATTTATTCACTTCATGGTATACAATATATTCACCTTTTCTTTGCATATACTCTCCTCAGGTCATAGAACCATAGGTGTGATCACAAAGGTGCGATTTCTTTTTCTCATATATTTGTTTAAATTTTCTTGTTTTAGATTCCGTAGCGATAGAAATCTACCTTATTCTCATGACTGCTTTATTTTCGCCCTGATTCAGTTGGACATTATGGACAGAGGTACTGATGCTCGGAATCACCTTCTTGGAAAAACGATTCCTCTTCGACTTGGATACGTGGGAGTCGTAAATCGTAGTCAGGAGGTGAACTCTGGTTACTTATGCTGCATATTGCTACTGTTCTATCATAACGAGCCAATGCCACTTAATTTTCTACGTTCTATATTCTTTTTGCTTTTGCTTTGCACTGTGGCCACTGTACTTAACCAAACTCAAGAATTTACTGGGCTCGTGTTGATTTCCTTAACAGGATATTTTGCTGAATCGGAGCGTTAAGGATGCTCTTATTGCAGAGGAAAAGTTCTTTCTTAGTCGTCCAGTAAGAATGCATCATTGCCTCAGTTTACTGTTTGAGAGTGTTGCTTTGGCTGTTCTACTTATATCTGTTGTTGTTCTTGTTTTTAAATTTTTATAACTAAACAGGCTTACAGTGGTCTCACTGATCGTTGGGGTGTCCCTCAATTGGCAAAGAAATTAAATCAGGTATTATCTGCAGTCTTGGGATAACCTGTTGTCTTTGTTATGATTATTCTGTTATGCAGTAAATACATGAATTTCCTATGGGAAGAAGCTTACTAAATCTCTGTGTTTCTAATTGTGTCTATATTTGGCTTTTGTATGTAATATATTCATGTCTCCTAGCCGTACACCACTGTAGTTAGTTTGATTGTGCCCATTTCATTCTAGCAGGAGCTAGGTATTTTGTAGGATATGCTTTTGTTTCTCACTGTATATATTTGAAAAAGTCAGTAACATCTACTCATTACGGTTACTGGTTCACACGGTGCATTCTTTTTCTGTGGATTGATTAGTCCTTTTCTGAAGATATCATTTCATAGCTTTCTTAGCTGGCAACATTAGTTTTAAAATGAGAACCTGTCTAATGGGAGCTAGTCCCTTTTTTTATTTGCAGATCCTTGTCCAACACATCAAGGCGCTGCTTCCTAATTTAAAATCACGTATCAGCAATGCATTGTTTGCTACAGCAAAGGAGTATGAGAGCTATGGGGATATAGCAGAGTCCAGGGTATGTGGTTTTGGGCCAGTTTTAGCCTAAGTTATCCTATCCATTCTTACACTTTCGCTTGTGTATGTTTTCGTCTTTCTTGATATTTGTGGGATCGTTTTTTTGTTAATTTTGACTAGAACAAACTAATCAATAATGTATAGAGTTAGTATTTAGAGGTGTTAAGATCAGTAGGGAAAGATTCCTGACAAGAAATATTAAGATATGCTTTCCAAGTAATTCATAGAGCTAGTCAAAGTGGTTCCAAGTATCTAGACATGCTCTTTATTTCATTTCCTTATGAAATTCTAATATGTCAGTGAAAATACAGATATATAAGTTTTTCATTGTAACTATTTAACTTACAGCTTTCTCTTGTATTGTTTCGGAATTCATAGGCTGGTCAGGGAGCTCTGCTCCTCAATTTTCTTACAAAGTACTGTGAAGGTAAAATATTAAGATGGTTCTTCCAGTTAAGACGAATGTTAGTTTATGCTTTTTAGGTTTATTGGTTCTCATGGGTTAACTGTTCATAACAGCATACTCCTCAACCCTGGAAGGGAAAAGTAAAGAAATGTCTACATCTGAGCTCTCTGGTGGAGCAAGAATTCACTATATCTTCCAATCAGTCTTTGTTAAGAGCTTGGAGGTTTGCTTTTACATTTTTGCAATTGTCTCTCGATCTTCAGTCAGTTATAAGCTGCCTTTTGTTTTGTTATTCCAAGTTTGTGGATTAAGCTATGTCTTAGTTAGGTGATTCGCTTTTAATCTAATTTGAGATATGTCTTGTGGTCTTGAATGGAAGTTAATTTTGTTGATATTGATATAACAACTATACACGTATGACTGCCTTTTCATTTATGAGTGTGGTTATTGACAAGGAAGGCAGACAGTTTATTTCAGGCTTTGAAATCTTGGAAGTGTGGCATGTTAGCAGTTCATTTATGAGTAGAATTACTTCACTTGTAACAAATAGTTGGTGTTTATATTAGCTTCAGTTCCCTGCATCATTCAAGCATCTGCTCTGTAATCGTTTGAAATCGATCTGTATTTTTTCTGCTGTATAGTGATCTTTACATTGTAGACTACTGATGTTGTTGGTGCTACTCGTTGTGGGTTTTATGAATTTAACTTATTAGTTTCCTTCACTTTGTCTCTGAAGGAGGTAGATCCATGCGAAGACTTAACAGATGATGATATTCGGACTGCAATTCAGAATGCCACTGGTCCCAGATCTGCATTGTTTGTTCCAGATGTAGGTTTATATCCCTAAGCATTTGTGAAAATCATTCTGCTTATCAGTAACTTTGATTAGTATCTTTTGCCTTCATTCTCTTCTGCATAGGTTCCATTTGAAGTTCTTGTCAGGAGGCAGATATCTCGTTTATTAGACCCCAGCCTTCAGTGCGCTAGGTTCATTTTTGATGAGCTAATAAAGGTCTGACTTATTATTTTTTTTTCTTTACAATGCTTACTGTTAATTTACTTGATCATGCAATTTCTTTCTGCAGATTAGTCATCAATGTATGATGGCGGAGTTACAACGCTTTCCAGTCCTTCAAAAGCGCATGGATGAGGTTGTTGGAAACTTTCTGCGAGAAGGTCTTGAACCCTCACAAGCAATGATCCGAGATGTTCTTGAAATGGAGGTATGTATGAATAATTTAAGATCAATATAATCATTGATGACATGGTGATACGG